TACAGTATAAAATAACAGTGTCTAATATAGGTCAGGCTCTAAGTAACATTATTTGGATCTCTCTCAAGTGGATATACTTTTTACACAAATACCAATCTAACCAACTACCATTAGTGAAATTTTTCTTTGTGTTTCTTTATTGAGTGCCATAGAGAAAGCAGTGTTACAGGGTTGCAGAGCTCCACATGAGAGATACAGCCAGTGCTCCATTGCCATGTTTCAGATCTTACTGATGAGACCAAAACAACTCTGAGCATCGAGATCTGAGCAACCAAGACCTGTGGGTTTGGTCTGGCTATACACTACAAAGTATCACATCTCATCCTCAGCGCCAGTGCTAGAGTCTAGACAGAAGTGATGCTATGACTTAAAAGCCCCTGGGATATCTTAAGGCCTCCAGAGCTATGGGGAGAGAATAGGTATTTTGTTTCAATAGTCTGGCTAGACTGATAAACGTCATTGATTGATTCTTACTCATCACTTACCATACAAAACAGCAAAAATAATTAAGAAAGGGATATACACATTGCTCCCCAGAGCTCATGTTTTAGTGGGACAGGTAAATGTGTTCCTAACTAACTCCACAGAAGGTCATCTGACCAAATCGTTTCTTTTCAGGAGTTAGCAAAGGAATAGAGGTGACAATTCTTATGTGAGGTCACAAGGGTAGATTCCCATATCTGCAAGTGTGTGTGTGTGTGTGTGTGTGTGTGTGTGTGTGTGTGTGTAGGCTAAAAAGTGAAATCAGCTAGGCATGACAATACAACAGTGTAGCACAGGAAGAAGATTTTTATGAAGTGGGGTTCTTTGGTTTTCTTTCTTTTTAAATTTTAGAATTAGGGCACAGTGAAAGGAGGATGGTTCAGGGAGTGAGCATCCATGCGAGGCCAGTATTCAAGAGAACAGAGAAACCTGTGCTATGAGGGAAGTACAGGTGGCAGTAAGTGCTGCCTTTGGTCTGTCTCACCTGGGTCTGTCTCACAGATGCCTGAAGATGCTACTGCTGATGTATTGTAGAACCCATAATTTCAGGACCCGTTCAGTCATCACTCTGAAAATTCAGTCACAATTAAGTGTTCATAAGTATTGCCTTTACTAGATGAGAGGATCCTCGAAGACACTCACCATATTTCCATCAAGCACTGAATTTATTCTTCTATGAAATTGTATCTTGCCTATAACATGCCATTAAAATCAACCATCCAACAGTCAGCAAACAAAAATAAGAATTTTTACCTTTTCCTGAAAACTCAGTAATTATTTTGACTCTCAATTTCTGTAATAGTTAATTTTACATGACTTTTTTAATACACTATCACATTAGACTTTCAACCTCTGATTTAAAAAGTAATACTTGTCTTATTGTTAGTTAATTATTAATAATAAACAATTTATTGCTTATTCATTAAACAATTTATTAATTGTTTATTTAGTAGATCATGGTATTTAAAAAATTATTTGGTACACCTTTTTGATATTTTACTGCTGGTCTTCTATAGAGTCAGGACAATCGGGTGCCAATTTTAAAGAAATGCTAGTGAAGGTACTGTCCTTTACTCATCTGTGATGTGGAGTGTCCTGATAGTTGAGTTGACAAATGAATGGCTGACTTGAAACACTGGGTTTTGCAATGGCTTCCATTCCTCACTGTAGGGCCTCCGAGCCATTGCCTTGAAGTTCATTTGTTGCTTCCCTGCTTTACTGATGTGGAAGCCTCTAAGTGGCCTTAACGTCAAAACTAAGGTGCTAAATTTTACAGCAAGATCAATTTCCACAGTGTTTTTACTGCCAAATACATTTTTTAAAGGATGCATTAAATTTAGAGTCTGTCTAGAGGATGATTACTAACAGGTTGTTTCAGGAGAAAACAAGTGGTGCACTCGTGTGAATATTTATCTGGCAGTTCCTTGAGATACTAGATTATTACAGATGGCAGAGAGAAAGCACTACCAGTGATGTGACATGGGAGAATTTATCATCAGAAGTAGGTGATTTCATAGCGTGTCAGCATTACTGTACCTACAGTCTTGTAAAAAATGTTAGGCTCCCAGGTCATTTATCATTAAACAAGGCACTCACCTGTGCACTACCTCCAGAAGCTCTGCTGAACATTTGCTCATCTAATTTCCTTTGATGTTAGTCTGTTATTGTAGTGGACACTTTAGCAGTGTGTGGCTGTATAACATATGCACATTTAAATGAAAAGGGTGAAAGCACAGAAAAAGAAAGTAACCCCATGCAGACCCTCCTCTCTGAAAACTGATGAGTAAAACTGACACAGTTTTCATGGGATGTTTTGTCTCTTTGATTGGCATTCAGTCTGTAAAGAAAATATTTGCCTCAGATAATTCACCCAAATGCATGTAGACTAGATACTAATTAGTTGACTTGAAATCCCAGCTCTGGATTGCTTGGACAATGGTGCTGGTTCCTCATGCTCTCCCTGTACATAAACTTCCATATCGAAGATTTAACTCATTCAGGCACTAAAGGCAAAACACCACATGTGTAACACTTTGTGTCACTTCTCTGTGTTTAGTGCCATTGTGCTATGGCCTAGAAGCCATCAGCTCTGCCCCAGAAATCTCACTTGAAATCTGGCTCTGATGCTCATTGGTTAGGTAGCATTTTGTCATATTATTAAACCTCTAATGCCTCCATTTCTTCAGTTTTAGAATGATAATAATAGGAACAAAATAAAGTTGTTATTGAAACTAACAGCTGAAGATACAAACTTTGTGTAGCATATAGATCACAATAAGTATGAAGTTAGAGTAGTTCCCTTAGTTATAAAAACATCATTAAGAGTCCAGTTTTGGTTGTTTGTTATTTTATTGTTTGAAACTACTCTAATTATTTTTGTTTCCCAATTTCATTGAATCATTAGTTAGCACTGGACCTAACCAGTTTGAACTTCTTGAGTGAAAGAAAAACAAAAGATAAGTAGGGTTTCTAATTTGTGTTATAACTACTTTTCCCACAATAGATGATGTATGTCAAGCAAATAATCACTACTCTCATACAGGTTGGAGTTTAGCTTTCACATATTATACTCATTCCTGTACCTATAAGATTTGCTTTAGGAGTTTCATTAGCTGCCCGTTTTTTATCATTTTTTATTTGAATTAGAAACAAGATTGATATACATGACAATCCCAGTTCCCTGCTCCCTCTCTTCCTCCCCTAACAGCCCCCCAACAAAAAACCTACCTTTCACATATCCTTTCTCGTAGCTCCCTCCCCTCTCTTCCCATGCTCTCAATTTGCTCAGAGGATCATGATCCGTTCCCCTTCTCCAGGGGACAATTGTGCAGCAGAAGCTTGCCACAGCTTTTGCCTGCTGTATGTTCATGCTGAATAGGTGTTAGCTGTGTAGACAGACCTATCTGGCAGTTTCTACATATGCACCTGTCATATTAGTCTAATATTTTAATCCTAGAACTCCTTAATGGACAAAAAGAATTCTACTTCTTACTTTTATTGTGGTTGTGTACATAAAAGCTTTAATGTAAAATAGAGAGGTAAAGAGGCTTTATTGATTCTGCCTTTGGTAATTATTCTATATAAAATGTGTGTTCAGTAAATGATAAATTGAATTGCACTAAATAACTATATATATGGATATATGAAGAATGATAAAATTGCTCATTAAAGTATAGTCTCAGAGTTTGCCCTCTTTTGTGATCACCTACTTTATTTCTACTCTTGGTCAAAAACCTATGAAACTAAAAAGCACTACTTGACAGATAGGAAGTGTTAGCATGAAGTACTTACTACAGTCATTATACTTTTATGTTCATTGTATTAAGTTATACTCATGCAAAGTAAAAGAGCTGGGGATGTATACTTTAGGCAATGAGAAGTTGTTTATAAAGAAAGAAATTATACAATGAAGTGAGTATTTTAGGAACACTAACCTAAGTTTAATATTTGAGGTGGAAAAGGCAATGAGAAAACTGAATGACAGCTTGTAGATTTTTGTCTGAATTAAAAACTAAAATCAAACCAGGAGTAAACAAGGTAGGCTTCCTGCAGAACTTCTCCTGTCACTCTTTCCCTAGACTCAAACTCCCAGCCTCATCCCTAGTGCTGTAAGGAATACCAGCTACAACCTTCCCTGCCTCATGCCCAAAACTCCTGTAGTGCCCACAAACCATCACCTCCTAATAGCCCTCCCCCACTTCTTGATTTGATGGAGACTCCAGATCCAGCAGCCCCCCTAAAGGAAGGGTTACTCCTGCCAGGTAAACAAGTAGGCTGAAGGCAGACCCACACCTCTCCTACTGATCCTGAGATCCAATCCCCCCCAGCCTCATCCCCAGCTCTGGAAACCTCCTGCCTGTGGTCTCCCTTTTCTCTCTGATCCCATCCCTAACAGATCACAAAGATCTTCTCCAACCTTCCTTCCCTTAACTCATTCCAGTGTACCAGTCTACAACACCAACAGGCATTTCCTGTGAACACACCATCTGAACAGTACAGAAAAACAGGCAACACAGAATGGATGTGAAAACAGGATCCATCCTTCTGCTGCACCCAAGAAATACACTGTGTTGAGACATCACAAGTAAACATTACCTGGGTCACGATAAAGGGTGGGAAGCGGATATTCCGAACAAATGGACATAAGAAGCAAGCTGACACAGATAGTTTAGCAGCTAACAAGATAGACTTCAAGCCAAAAGTAATCAAAAGAGATATGGAAGGATACTACATAACCAGCAAAGGAAAAATCGACCAAGATGAAATTTCAATTCATAAAATGTATACCCCAAACTCAAGGGCACCCAAGTTTTTAAAAGAAACACTACCACGACTTAAATTACACATTGGCCCTCACACTTGTACAGCCCCTATGGAAATCAACAAGGCAGTTTCTCAGAATGCTGGGAATCAACTTACTTCAAAACCCAGTTATACCACTCTTGGTCATATACTAAAAGGAAACTCTATTGTACCACAAGGACACTGGTTCAATCATGTTCATTGTTACTTTGCAGGAACTAGAAACAACTTAGATGAACCTCAGCAGAAGAATGGATAAAGGAAATGTGGCATATTCATAGAGTGGAGTATTACTCAGCTTTTAAAAATAATAACAGCATGAAATTTGCAGGCAAATGGAAACAAGGAACAATGAAAAAATCATCTTGATTGAGGTAACCCAAATGAGGAATGTATTCACTTGTAAGAAGATATTAGCTATTAAGTAATGATATCCAAGCTACTAAACATAGGCCCAAAGTAGTTAGGTAAAGAGGAAAGTCTGGGTGGGGGTGAGGAACACATGGATCTACTTGAGAGGAGAAAATAGAACAGACTGTATGGGTGGATTATATGGGGGTGGGGATGAGAGTGGGGCGATCTGGTGGGGTAGAGGAAAGAGTGTGGGGAGAGACTGGAATTGTGGAGGCATTTGAGAATGATGTTGAAACCTAGTATAGTAGAAACTTCCTGGAATCTATGAAGGTGATCCTACCTAATGAGGACTCCTATAATGGGTGATAAGGAGTCTCAACTGCCCCTCTCCTGTTAGCCAGGTGAGTCTTCCAGTGATGGGACTACATTGCATTCAAATTGGTTCTTGGCCAAGTAGTCTCATGGAAATCCCCAAACCACCTAGACTGATCCAAAGACAATAGTTTGCTTTTTGCAAACTGACATTGTGAGGAGAACACCCACACAAATCATTGAACATGGGGAAGTTGAGCTGGTGCCTAAAAGGAAACCTCACCCCTACATTCTAATCTTCTGTGCAGGTTACTAGAAACCAATGTAGACATCAACTCATCCACAAAAATCTTTGATCTCCAGTCTGTCCTGCCTACAAAATACACTAGGATCGTGGTGGCACAGAACTTGTGGGCGTAGCCAAGAAATGCTTGACTTAACCTAAGGCCCACTTCCTGACTCTGTTTGAGTAACAAAGAACTAGAAACTAGATAGACCAGAGACCTACTGTAAAACCAAACACTACTGGTAAAAAAAAAAAAAAAAAAATCAGTAAAATAATTCCTAATGATATTCTGCTATACTCATACATCAGTGCCTTATCCAGTCATTATTCAGAGAGAATTTATATGGCAGCAGAAGGAAACAGATTCAAAGAAAAGAAAAAAAAGAGCAAAGCAGATGAATGCTGAGTTAGTAGATGTTTGATGAGATCAGTTCGTATATATGGGTGTAGGAAAAGGGGGACCTTTTCAACAGAATGGTTCCTAAATAATTACAGTATCAAAAACATAGGTCAGTAGAGTTAAAAAAGCATTTTATGTCCTTTTGGAGATTGAAGCGAAAAATATGTCATGACAGTCTGTGCAAAGCCTAGGTTAGAAAACAAAGGAGGGGGCTTCTGGACCACCACCTGTGGCCCTGTTGGTATCTGGGGGCTTAACTGCCACAGAGGCAATGCAAATCTGAGAGGCCTATGCAGCCACACAGGCTCCTGGCCCAGCCCCACTTGTTCCTGTGGGCCATGCCTGGGTCCTTGGCCCAACAGCAGCTAGAGTCTGTGCTGATGACCATGGTTCATGTTACCACAAGAGTACTCTCCCCCTGATGGCCCCACAGCTTTCAAAATAGTACCGCATGTTTGGGGTTAAGCATTAAATAAAAATGAACCTATGAGGATATTTCAGGTTTAACCTGTAGCTGGATATAACTTTCAGGGTTACAATGAATCATGCAATAATGTGCACATATTACTTGTGACAAGCAGAATCTTTTAGAACACACCCATGGAACTAACTCAAAGCAACACACTTTTTATTCATTTATAATTCTGAGTCCATGGGTACAAACCAAAGATAAAAAACCAATCCTACTTCAAATACATTAATATTGTTAATGTCATATGTTAATAGTAGCACTATAAAAATGAGAATTTAATTTTCTAAACTAATGATAAGCCTCCAAACTCCAGATTGCAGCCTGGCATTCACACTATTGCCCTCTCCTTGTCATCAGCACACACACACACACACACACACACACACACACACACACACTAAGGCTTTTTTCATAACATAGCCTAGGGAAAACTTTAATATATTTGTAGGACATGATATTGATAATATTGTCCTACAGTAACTAGCAGACATTGCAAATAAGAACAAAGAGAGAAAACTCACTTTTGTCACTATGTTATATGAGACATTCATCTTCATAAATTTTAGGTAGAGGTTTGAATCCAATAGTGAGTGTTGTTGCTAACAGAAGAATCCTCCTTTATTCTAAAGTGACTTGAAATGTGACGTGTCAGAAAGATTGCTCATCTAGACTTCTACTACAGGGGAAGAATGCCTATGAATTTAAAGGATGAGTATTTTATTTTATGTGGAAGTAATTTATTGTGTAGTTGTGCCTAAATCTCACTAACTTTCTCTGAACTCAGAACCACAGAGATATGATGCCCAGTCCATAGCTTTGCAACACATTCCATTAACCTCCCATGTTTCAGCTATTTTAAATATTAGTTCCATTTCAACAAACAAAATCCTGCAATGCATTCTGGTAAATTAGTATCTAATAAGAAGAGACTAGAGCATGAAACTCCAACACGAATGTTTAATGGGATACAAATATCCAATCTGGAGGCTCTAATAAAAGTCTCCTCTCTCTGGGTGAAGGCCGTTGGCTGTTACACAGAAGCCATCATACATGGCCGCCCTCAAAATGCATTATAGATCAGACTCATAATCTTTCCTTCTACAAATGGCACAAGAATTGATTTCAATTATCATTTAATACTGATTTCCCTCTCCTGTCAAAAAGTTCTCTGTGCACATGAAACTGAAGGTTGTCAGCTTGAGCTCATTGGCAGAACTTTTAAGGACTATTGATTTGTCAGTGAGATTTCTAGTTCTCTCATAGTTACTGGAAGGATACCTTGGAGGCTGAATTCGATGACAGGATGGGCCAGAATGCCGATAGGCTTAGTGAAGACTGATGAAAAGAGAAACTCAAAATTTGTCAGAATGTATTTTGTAAATTAGGTTAACATGATTGATTATACTAAGCCAAAATTTCTCATGTAGCACTGACCTGAATTTTAATTATCTCTTTTCTTCCTGCCCCATTTTGTGCTTTGGTACAAGTCTTTGATGTCTGCACATTAACCTTTGCAGAAAATATGAAGTGGTTTAAAAATAAATTGGACTTATGCCTTTGGAAATAAGAGTTGTTTTGTGCACCTACAGAGACTTGTTTTACTTCTTTCAACTCCAAGAGTATATGAGTTACCACAGAGTATTTATATAAGCACATATGTAAGGCCAACATTTTTTGTAGGATTTTATGTTCTTACAGGTACTTAAAGAACCCAAGGGCCTTTATCTTCACTTTAATTTTCTCACAATCCTTGTAAAAAAAAAGAGACAGCTTTCCACAACTAATGCCTTCTCAACAGCACTGACATCATTCTGAGTAAACATAGATGCATCTTATAGGCACAGTCAGTGCTCCCCTTTAAGCAATCTCTCCCTCTCCTGACTCCCACATACATTTTTTTCTGTAAACGTTGTGTAGATTTGTCTCTACAGGGACAGACCCAGACTTTGTGTGGCTTTAAAAGACACAAGATTGCATTCCATCAAGAAAAAAGGAACCACAAAATCATGGATATGAAATCAACATGAGAGTGAGTGTTTTGCTTGACAAATCATAACCAACAACAAAGTTTAGAAGCTTAAAACCTAGAAACATTACAAAAATCCACAAAACATATTCTCCGTCTCTCCTTCTCCCTCCCCATTTATGAATGTGTGTGTGTGTGTGTGTGTGTGTGTGTGAGAGAGAGAGAGAGAGAGAGGGAGGGAGGGAGGGAGGGAGGAAGGGAGAGAGAGAGAGACAGAGAGACAGACAGAGAGAGAGAGAGAGAGAGAGAGAGAGAGAGAGAGAGAGAGAGATTGAAAATTGGGTTAAGGGTCTTTGACTTATACCTTGTTTGAGTCGCAGGCTATCAGCCTGGCTTCCTTAACAGCCTCCAGGGAATTTCTTGTATATGCCTGCATGCCTCCTATCTTGCCATGCAACACAGAGATTGGATGTGCTTGCACTGCGTGTTCAGCTTTATGTCTTTATGTAGGATCTGGGGGTCCAAACTCAGGTTCTCTCACTTGAGCTGGAAGCATATTACCACTGGGCTAACAGCCAAGACCCTTCCCCTTTTGTTAAAAGTATAGCCTCTGATCCACTTATAGCATAAATGTGATTTTATAAAAAATTCTATAGAGGGGAGAAAATACAGGAAATTTTTTCTCTATTTTCAATGATAGAAAAATTTGTTATTACTGATGTTTTGTTGTTGATGTTTCATAACTCATTGCTGGCTATATGCAGATTGTTTCAGGGCTGCGGTGAGTGATATGAAGAGTTTCCACAGAAGAGATTCTGACTAATACAGTCCAATCTTGTATTTCTTCTGCTAAGCACATGTTTCTTGGGCCGGCATTGCAGTTCAGTCAGTTAGCAGGCTGACCTCTGCACATGAGCACTGTGTCAGGACACCAGGTGGAGTGCTAGAGCAGTACTGGATTTGTCGGAACAAGAGCAATACCCAACTCCCACAAATAAAATATCCCAGGCAGCCCCAACTGAATGAACTGCAAACAGTGCTTTGCTCAGCATGCTCCTACAAACAGCCACACCAACTGATTTTCCTCACACATGGTGAGTGGAAACCACTTCATTTTCTCAGCCACCCCCACCCCACATACATCTGATGGTTTTCTGGTCCAATATGGTCATCCTTATCTTCCTTTTGCTCTTACTAACTGCATACCATCCTAAGCTCACAGTCCAGGCCACATCTCAGCTAACTGCATGCTACCCTAGCCTCACACAGCCATGTACATCTCAACTAACCACATCCCATCCTAGCCTTGAAGGACCATGTGCATCTCAGTTTACCTCATCCCTCCCTAAGTTCACAGACCAGGCCACATCTCGTTTTACTGCATCCCTCCCTAGCCTTACAGGACCATGCCTATCTCAGCTTACTGTATCCCTCCCTAACTTCACAAGACCACGTACATCTCAGTTTACTACATCTCTCCCTAATCTCACAGCCCAGGCCACGTCTCAGGATCTTCTTTTCCTGTTGTCTTTCCCATTCTCACAAAATAACTGAAAGATCACATTTTTCTCCAGAAACCCTAGTTTATCTTTTCAGAAACTTATAGGCAGCTTTTTATCTTGTCTCTGCTTCCATTCTCCTATGCCACTCCCACCGCTCCATCTGAGGACTGTTTTTACTAACTTGTTATCCCAGATTCTCTAATCTGAGATGAAGATACCTTTTTTCTGGCTTTGCCCTGTTGATGCAATTCTCCTCACCCTAGTTCTCAAAGATTTGCCCATAATCTCCATCTTAGAAGCTTTGTAAAACATCCAGATCCATGAAAGGCAATTCCTTTTACTGGAACATGGGCAAGATGATAGTTTGAATGTCATTGGCCCCAATAATCTGATAGGGAGTGGTACTATTGGGAGGTGTGGCCTTGATGAAGTAGGTGTGGGTGTGGTCTTGTTGAAGTAAATGTGACACTGTGGGGGCAGTCTTTGAGGTCTCTTTGCTTAAGCTTCACTCAGTGTCACAGTCTACTTCCCTATTGGCTTCTGATCAAGGTGTAGCCAGCACTATGTATGCCTGCATGCCAAGAACCCCACCATAATGATAATGGACAGAACCGCTGAAACTATAAGCAAGCCACATCAATTAAATGTTTTCCCTTATAGGAGTTGCCATGTTCACAGTGTCTTTTCATGGTATTAGAAACCCTAAGACAGACACTATTAATCAGATATGTAATTTATGCTATTCTGTACTTAATATTAACAAAATATGCATATGTGCTATAGTGCATATATGTATAAGATTTCTAAAAATATAATAAGTAGGTTAATTCTATTGTTGCTACCTAGCAGTTTACATAGAACTGGAAAGATGAATTTAGAAATATTTTCTGCCATTGGGATATATGAAAGCTTGTAAATGGGAAAACATAAGGTAAAATGACTTCTAGCAGATGAGGGAGTAAGATAAGAGCCCCACATAGCAAATCCAGTGTATAGTGGTTATCAGCCCAACGTGGTCTCCCCAGATTGGTACGATTTCCAGACACTCTTCCCAAACTCGGTAGATGGCCGTATTTCTAGCACTTGGTTTCTGGAGGTATCCAGTTCTCTGTAGTTGGAGGTATTCATGAAGGCATGGGAAGATGTGCTAAATATTGACCTGAACATTCAGTCACTGCCCAGATGACGTGCAGGTAATCTGTCTGCATAGGTGTATAGACTCTGTGAGACAACACCAGGCAGGATTCTGTTGTGCTCTTAACTGAGGGAAGAACAGTCTCACAAAGATGGCAGAGTCTCTGGAGACAGAGACCAGCCCACACCCAACCACAAGCGCCTGGTTCATTAATAGCTCATTGGTAGCGTCAGCCTCAGCCTGAGTGACTTGATAGACCATGATTGGAGCCAGCTGTGCCTTCAAAGGTGGCACTTCACTTCTAGCCTCTGGTAGATCTGATGCAATTCCAATTTATTCTATGTGAGTATTTGTTAAAGTCCAATTTTCAATTTTTTCTAATTTCCCTCGGTTATGATGATGGATCTGTAAACTGTGAATGTATTCCACTCAGAAGATGTTAACAAAAATAAGCTTTCAAATATTTAAGGCAATCAGCTAAAGCTACAGTTGATTTTAAACAGAAGTCTCCATCACTGTATATGGTGTTTCACAGGCCAGCTGCAGGAGTGGATGGATTTGATTACTTTCAAGCATTCTGTGTGGCCGGAAACTTAATGCTGAAGCTCAGCAGGAGAAGGCCTGTGAAGAGGGAATTGACTCACACTGTGATTTATAATAAAGGGAACCTTTTTTCTGCGAAATGTTATCTGAGAGTTAAGAACTCCTTTGAGATTTTTCACTATCAACTCAGCATGGTGCTATTATTTTGTTATTGAGACTTTTGTTTTTCCTACCTCTTACAGAGGAATCTGAAAGTTCAGCAGAAAGCAGTGGTCCTTACCTATAGTCCAGTTAGGTACTCCAGATACTGCACCAGCAGTTCAGCAGACTCTCCTGAAACTTTGTATGCATCCATTGAATTATTTTTTTAACAGAAAATATTTATAAGATATAGTCAGTAATCAGTTTTCCTATGATATAAGAGATTTACAAAAAGCTGTATGTGTCTAGCCTTTCCTGTTATCCATGCTATGTTGTTGTAGATATACTGGGATGTCTGCCAACCTGATACTTTCCCCCCCTCTAAAATCCAGTGTTTCTCCATAGAAAACACAGGCCATTCTGGGCAGGGGTGGGTACATTTTCTTAATTGATTTTACTACCATCGAAAATGACTCTATTTTGTGTCAATTGACATAAACTCGAAAGCAAAATATTTGTGTGAAGTTTTTTGAGTGCTAAGAACTATATTTATGTCTGAATTTACTAAAAATGATGACAAATTATTACTAAAAATGAATTCTTTTGCACATTATGGAGTATTATCTCTATTAAATGGATAATTAGCATGTAGCTTAAGTATCTGTACAGAGAAGTGGAAACTTTTGACTCAGAGTAGAACCAAAGACAAAACAAATAACTACATAGATTGTATTATTATTTATTAAGTGAAAGTCAATAAAATAGTTGATAAGCTTCAAACGGTGGCATATATTCTCAATAATTGAAGTGGCATCACCTGAGAATGTTCTGTCATTATTTGGAAGTGTTCTTTGCATGGCACCTTGAATAGTGTTAATTGTTATATACATTTTAAATGACTGCCTTAGTGTAGCACTAAGGATACAAAAGAGAAGTTCAAAAGAAAAAAAGAAAAGAAAAAGACAATAAGAAGAGTTGGAGCAAATGTTCCTGGCAGTTTCCTAGCTCTTTGGTCCAAGCATTCCTCTAATGACATACTGTTAGTGGATTCCTGAACTTCCACACAGAACATTCCCACAATGCCAAGTTTATATTTTAATAACATAAGGTCAAATGTTTATTAGCTATTTAAAATCAATAATGCTTGATTAGTTACAAAAAACATGAACATCTGTGAATTATATAAATTAGTAGTAGAAAGATATTAAGAAAAACACAATGCCATTTTATATTATGGTTAGCTTTTATTCAATACTTACAGTATGATAAGCAGTTACTGATGCCTATAAGTGCTTAGGAATATTTACCATCACAGTGCATACTTTACCTATGCAGTAATGCCATGTTTCCTGTGAACAGAGAGCCTTCCCTCAGCTCCATCCCAAACTACACTTTGCCCCTCCTGTCTTGATTCTTCTCATTCGAATGGCTATTCCCCCTATTAGCCCAGTTGTTTTATCCCCAAAATTTCATTTCATCAAAATTTAATGAAAACAAACAAAACAGAAAATGACCCTCACCCACACCTACCTCATCACCAAGTGCAGAAAGATCCCTTTCCCAAGTAATTTGCACAGCTGGCATTTCTGCACGACTTGTTTACATATCTCATGACTTATCGTCTGGTCTCCATGAACTATGAAGAATGAATGTTATAAAAACTAACCTAATCTGACCATGTTATTTTCTCCTCAAAATCTACTACTTGGCACCCTGTCTTTCCCTGAGAATTTATTTACCACTTTTCCTTACACATTCAGCTCCACCTCTTATCTTACTGATCCCCCACCATCACAAAAGATTCAGCTTTATAATGAATACAATTGCTGGTTCTCATACTTGGGATGCTGTTTATAAACTAGCCCTTTAATTTAGGCAGCGCTTTGTTGAGTCAGTCACAGCACTCTAGTTCAGGAGACTTTCCCTAACTTCCAGTCCTATGGTACTCAGCCACCCCCATCTCTGTCCAGAGCTTTACCTTGCTCTCCTTCGCTTTCTGATGCATGGTTGTTTCTTAAGACCTCTAGTAAAATGTCAGCCTTATGAGACTGCTGTTGATCATATCCATTCACACCTCTATTCCCAGGATGTCAGAAAATAACTTAAAATAACTGAGGTCCAGTAAGCCAAGGTGTGAAACGGTTACATGGTTTCACTATTTGAATCTTCCTGAAGACCACACCTTTCTGGGTCTTTCCCAATCAGAATGTTGTGTCTATTTCCATGAGCCCCTTATGCTTCTGCAGTTTCATCTTATCTCATATTCAATGTTTGATTCATCACAAATCACAAATTCAAACATACACGAGAAACTACAATTCTTAGGGTCCATTTTCTTCTCTTCCAAAGTGCTACATATACCATAGAAGATTTTAATCAATGGCAATGAAATTTTCCCTTTCATTTTAGTGGGTTTTGGTGTGTGTGTGTGTGTGTGTGTGTGTGTGTGTGTGTGAGAGAGAGAGAATTGCTATATGCATGTATATATGGATTCATCATCCTTGTATGGACATGTAGAGGACAGAAGTTGATTTTTTGTGTCTTCCTTTATCATTCTCCATGTTAATTTTGAGGCTCACTAAATCTGGAGCTTACTCTTCTATGTGTGGCTTGGTCAGTAAGCCCCAGAAGTTTCCAGGCTCTACTTCTCAGATTTTAAGTTAAAGATGTGTACCACATACATACAAGATTTTATGTGGGTACTGGGGAGGCACACTCAGCTTAGAAAGCAATTCTTTACTAACTGAAGAAACTACCCATCTCTCATTTTAAATATTTGAATGATCTGGCTGAACAAATGCATACAAATACACATAAGAGTGACAATACACACAATTGTGGGTCTCCAAACTTTTTTTTTTTAAACATGGAAAGTTATCCCATCTTCCACCACCCTTTTAATTCCACCCATGTAGTAAGGACTTATTTTGCAAATAATACGTCTCAGATAAGAGGTGTCAGATTCCTGACTAAACTTTGTATTAGCTTAATTACAAGTTGAGCTATGTTTTCTGACTTTTCATTAATGTCTAAGTTTGTAAACAGCAGTGTCTGGTATATGAAAGATACATCAGATGAACATATTTTGTCAATTCTACTAGGATTTTCATATTTAATCTTCCTTCAGTCCTTAAGACATTTGTCACTGTTTTATGTTAAAACAATAGCATCATGTTTAAAATGTACCAAGCATTAAGCATTAGTATCTTCGTGAGTGGAACCTATCAACCATGATCACTTTATTTTGGAATCAGGTTTTGAGTAGTAATTAGCCAGTGTATAATGATCTATATGATCTTAGTGCCCAGCACATGATAGCAATTATTATTTAAGGGTATAAACTTAATGAGAAATGATTTGCAGAAGGCATTCAAGAGGAGATCATTTGTTGGTATAATGAAATCAATGCTTAGATTACAGGGTGAACATAGAGATATTAAAGACACACAAATTCTTTTTTTGTAATGTATTTTTAAATGTATTTATTTATTCTTATTTTGCATGTGTGAATGTTTGTAAGCATATATGTGTAGGTACCACATGCATACCTGGTACCCTTGGAGGCCAGAAGAAAGCATCAGATCCCCATGGAACCAAAATTACAGTGGCTTGTAAACTGTTATATGGGTTCAAGGACATGCTTTCATAGAAGGAAGTGAGAAAGGGTTATTGGACGCTCACCTGAATATCCAGTCACCCATCCAAGCCTATTGTATATGCAATTCTGCCCAAATTGCAAGTGGTTGCAGGGTTTGGGGGACTGGCTGGATTACAGAACCTGGAGAGGACTTGGTGAAGGAGACTCCAGTTATGGAGCTACAGGGAAGTCATCAGCCATGCTGGATGAAAACATTCCAGTGTGGATCTCTTCTTGAATGCCTTCTGAAAATCATTTCTCATTAATGCTCTGGAATCACCCATGCCCCTCCCTGTCAGTAACACCTCATCATGCACTATAAGTAAGCCAAATATACTTATGCGTGCCTCAGGAGGAACTTTGGTGGAATGGAACCTTTGTTTTGTCCCTGGGACCTTTGAAAGGTGGTGGTATGGATACTATTGGGTTCTCTCCAAGGTGAAAAAATCTGGAGACAGATGAAAAACAGGAGGGTACTCCTCCCCTGAGGGTACTGTTTCCCCTAATGCTTATTAGGTTCCAAGTGAATTCTGTGATCATATGATGATTCATATCATGCTTGGAATAATTTATCATTATTTCCAATTTGAAAACTGATCAAACTTTGTAAAGATGGGAATACCACAGCAGAGTTGATTCTTGAAAGACAAGGTATTGATGTCACATGAACTGCAATGATGACACCTATGAAATGAAAGCCTTTTTTTCTAAGTGTTCACATGTAAATCTATAGTTTAACTTCTGTTGTAAATGACATTTATGTGTTGCAACTAACATTACTCTCTACTTTGATGAAATGGAATTTACCTTCTGAGCCAGTAAATTTAGCTCTTCCTCCCTACAGATTTCTTGGGGGTACTTACATATTCTTCATAAGCTTCATGGGCTGGAGGTGGGGGTGCTCTGTATCCTGGTACCACTGCTGTTCCCCGGGCACGAGGTGTAGGGACACCTCTTGCTATTGGTGGCACTGGAAGAGCTCCACGAGTCACAGTGGTCCCCCTGGGTGTAAGAACACCTCGTCCAGGTGGTGGTGGTGGAGGAACAGCACCCCCACGGCCCCTATGAGAAATAAGTGACATGCAGATGAAGGAAAAGAAAGACAAGAAATTAAAGGCTCAGCTCACTTTTTCCACCCAAGCAGGTCTCTTTCTGATAGATATTATATAATACGTAAAGTGCTTTGAGTCACACTAAAATACACCTCCTTAAATATTATGACTTAGCTCTCATGAAAACCATGCAATATATTTTGATATTTTCTATTATATAATTTAATAAGGGAAAATGGAAAAGAAAACCTCTATTGACTGAATTCCAAACTTTAAAAGGACCAACCAGAATATTGTCTGAGATTGGCTACATGTGGGACCGAGTGTGTGTGTGTGTGTGTGTGTGTAGACTATCTCCTTGCTGGAGGTTGTTGACAGTGATCTCTGGTGTGGTCATATTTAAAAAAAAATCATCTTAATAAAATGTGACATTCTGACCAGTGTGATGCCACTGTGTAGCTGTAGCTGCTTACATTTCATATCACTGATTTATCAGCATGCCGTCACCTCTTGAAACAGTGAATTGCACTGAAATATTTTCACATGGTAACTCCAGGGCTGCTGAATTATTGCTCAGCAATGAGAAAGTTGAATGAAAGTTCTGTACCGCAGACTTAACGACAAAGCGATTTGAACAAAAGCATGAGTTCAAAGAATGCAGCCATTTTTTTTCTATGACATACTGAAACATTTAGAAAGGGTGTTTATCTGAAATCCTTGGGAAAAAACATGGCTATTTCACTGTGCCTGAAAGTCGACCTCTAGATAGCACTGCTATCAGCAGGAATGCTGAGCTTTGAGACAAACTGTATCTTTTGAATGCTCCACAATCATCATGTTGAGCTGTGCCATCACATGGAGGTGCGGGTTACACTGTTCTGAATAGCCATCCACTGGCTCTTTCGTCCTGGAAGAAAATGCGTGTTGGAAGGGAATTCTTGGCTTGCCCAGCTTATTCACAGACAGTATACAAAACAGCAGCCTAGAGCCGAGGACATAAGGGACCAAAGCTGCAATGCCAGCTTCAAGTACAATGGCTGGGAAGACAAACTGTTAGCATATGACATAAAAGTATCTGTGAAATGCAACTCAGCTTCCCTGAATTTCTCAGTTGTTGTTTTGTGTTTGAAATGTGTGAACACATGGTGTCTAACTCTCAGTGATGCTTTGGGAGGTTGTAGAATCTGTAGGACAGGGAGCCTTACGGGAGGAATTAGTTATCTGTGGACAGGCCTTGAGGTTTATAGCCCAAACCAGTCTGCTCTTTGATTTCAGCTCTGCTGAGACATGAGGAGTAAAGTTTCCCAGACATAGGTTCCCATCACAATGTGCCATCTTCCATGGTGCCTATCCAAATGATGGACTGTGTCCTCTTCAAACTGTGAGCCAAAATGAACCTACTTTTCCTTCAAGTTTCTTCTTGTTGAGTATTTGCTCATAACATCAAGACAAGTCACTAATACTGCCACCAAGTACCTGTTCCTCACCAGTAACCTACTTCCAGGTCTGACAACTAGTGTAATAATTCCTGTTCAGTTTAGCATTTTAATACTATCAAAACGTCCATGTGCTGATAATAAACAGCATGTTTTGGCTATTATCAATGAATAATTGTAGGTAAACATTTTAATTACCTAGACCTAGAATAATAATTTTTCCTAGTGAGTGGTATCTAGATTTCTGCTTTGCAATTATGTCATGCTCATATTGATTCTGGTCTTTCACTACATTTCTTCTTCAACGGATCTTACACCCAGACTTAGCAAAACCTCATCCAGAGTCTTTCTCATTCTCATTTATATGCTCTGTCATTTCCTGGCAATATTAACACCATTATGTTCTCCTGTTCAACCTAAAACATGCATCATCTATTTTAGGATACTGTCCAGGGCTAAATCCCCAGTGCAGTATTCTTTTAGTTTCTGACTTCTTCAAAGAGCACTTTCCGCATGTAATCTTCACTTTATGCTCATTTCTGAACCAACTGTCATCTCTTCAGTTCTTATTTTCTGCACACTGGGAAGACACTTGGCTGAGCCCACCAAGCCCACTGCCTACCAGTTTCCTCTTACAGTTCCCATGACCCTGGGCCTCCTGAGTTATATTTAAGACTTCTCCAAACTATTATCTGAAAAATGTTTCTTTAGATTTTACTCTTTACTCTGCTCAGTCTCTCTGTATTTCAAATGCTGTTCATTTTTGCCAGCCCTGGGTCATGGATTTGTCTTCATTGTCTCCCTAGTCATGATCCAGTCTCTTTTGCCACTTTTTTTCCGAAAAACCCAGCCAACTCCTCTATTTCTTATTATCACAGCAATTTCGGAGATTCTTTCTGAAAAAAGAGGCGTGGTCACATCTCTTTTATAACTCTATTAGTTCTTGGTGTTGCCCACAAAATCACTCAAAATCTGCCTTTAATGATAAAAGTATTTCATTATTTATTCAATTAAAAACAAATTAAAACTTTAGAATAAAGTTACCAAAGTTAGAATCCAATCAATTTTGGCAAATATCTGAGCCAAATGAAACATTTCTCCCCTAAGGTTCTTTCAAGCATCTGATTCCCTATCTTAATAATACACAAAATCGATTGCTATTTGCTTTTAAGATTTCATAATAAGATAAGTGAATTATTTTAAGTAGTTAGACTCTCAAAAATAGAGAAGAAAGGTTTGGACTAAATGTGTAGTTAAGATACACCTGCTAAGCTGCTAAAAATGTTAAAAATGACATTTCTGAATCACAAATATGGTAAGGTTTTATTGCTCAGACCCTAGGATTAACCTATTTAAGATGACTCAAAAGGATGCCAATTCAGAATCCATGCTTTTAGTCAGGCTAAAGTGAGCTTCTGGTTTTACTTAAGCAATGGAGATATATCTAATTCATTTGTCTATCAACTTGACAATATTATTTCTTTTTAAGAACTGTATATGACAAGGATAAAATATGTAGTTTTCCATTATGTGGAGACTTTCTGGTTTTAAAAAAGCAAAGGCCTATGTAATCTCTGTGGCCTAATCCTGGGGACTGAGCAGGGAAGTAAAGTCTCTCAGGTTCCCACCTTATTCTTTAAGGATAGATGTTAAGTGTTCACAATCTTGAATTCTGGAGTCACAAGGTATCCACTATTTTAGTTAACATTTTAATACTCTACCCAACTTTTGCTGTTGTTTCATGTTTAAAAACTAGTTCCATGGCTGGCCTGGAACTCACCATGACAATAAGGCTTATATTGAACTCACAGAGACTCACTTTTCTCATTCTCTTGAGTTCTAGGATTAAAGCCATGGGCTACCATAGTTGGCCCACCCAACTTTTGTTCCTCAGTTCCTCAGTTTCAAAAAGTGGTTATCCCAAGTTCAAAAGATATGATGAGTTAGTTTGAGATATCTCTTATGTGCTCTTTGACCATCCATTCTTACTCTTTTGTTATGATATGGATCTTGTTGAGGCTGTTGTTTTATGTACTATTGAAGCATACTGTCTTATTGTGGTGTGCTGATGAGATTGTTTAATTCTGTTTGGAATCATGACACAGTGCAGAACAGCCCTGGCCTGCAGTCACCATTTTCAGGTAATCCACTAAGGACTCAGGTACCTTGAAGGAGCTATGGGAGCTATTCTGATTCCTCTGCCTCTAAGACCTCTGCCACGGCCAGACTCTTCTGAGCCATTTAAGTAAGACAACTCCCGGAGTTGTTCCTGGCGAATTTCATCATTGTAGTCCTAGAAGAAAAAAAAAATACAAGATCAATTACTATCAGACTTCAGGTTCTTAGCCCTGAAACACACACCACAAACAATAAGAAAAAAACTAAGGATACAGCTCAGTGATGGAACATTTGTCTAACATGTGAGAGACCCCAAATTCTGTCACCAGCATTTCAAATGGAAGAAAACAAAAGAAGACAACAGTGTTGTGTGTCTAGAGCTGAGTCTAGCTCCAGGCCTTTCCTCAAAGCACTGATCCCAGTACCTGGTACTGAAGAGTCTGAAGTAGGAAAGGATGTTCCCAGAGAGTTCAGGGAGTGCCTGAGAACGTTGAATTCTAGGTCAATCTCTGCCAATGTGTAACAAAACAAACAAAACAGCTTTGTCTGTTGCCTTGATCGTTATGTATGTACCAAACCCCTGAAATGAGTTTAAAGAAGGTGCAAATCTCTTCATATCTCTTGTTCTATAGAGAAAATGAGGATACTTCTTTCAGCAAGAAGTACTCTTCATGACACAGGATTTAATTCTCTTAACTATCATTTTAGGCTTTCTCTGAAGAGGGGACGTGGCAACATAGGATCAGTACATGGAATGTATCTCAACTACAGCTGTCAAGATCAATATCATGGAAAATAGACTGCATTTGGGTGAATATGTGTAGATTAATGAGTACATGGTATTCAAACAGTTTCCAAGTCACAATCCAAAATGGAACAGTCCCAAGACTCAGGGGAGGTGAGACTGACTTTGATTCACTAGAATAATGTGCAGCATCAAACTCTGCTTTAGACACAGAAAGCTGTGGACTCTACCAAAGAACCCTGACTGCAACGTTTTCAAACCGAGGAACTTCCTTATGTGTCTTATACATGAAAAGTGGGAGTCACTACATGAATCAAATGCCACCTTCACAACCAGAGAGTCAGTGAGAGTCAGGATGTGTTATCAGTTGGCCATTTACAAAGAATTAAAAAGTAGGTCTGAGTCATTATAGGCAGATTTAACCTTTAATAAAAAGTGCTAGTTTAAATTATTTCCTCTTCTAATACATATACACTCATGTACAGACATGTAAACTCTCATTCACAGACAGAGATATACACAGAGACAAAGACAGACAGAGACAGACACACATATACATGCCCTTGTAGAACAGTATAAAATGCAGAAGTTGGTTATTTGTGCCCAATTGCCAATATGATCTTTTTCTTTAGAACATATTTATGTGATATCTACCAATGCTGTTATCTAACACTGGGGGCTAGTCTATGTCTTAAAACTTAAATCTTTTGCAAAGGTTGAGCCAACAGTCATGACATACGAGGCCAATCCTTGAAATTAAAGTTCAGTGTATCAGTAAATGATGCCCATTTAGCTCAGTATAAAATGAATGTATGAAGGTTTGGGGGTTCTTAATGCACAGCTTTCTGTCATACTCAAGAAACTGTCTTGATTACAACAAAAAGGCTGCTCATGCCAACGTAGTTATTTTCTTATTTTCAACATATTGTTGTCATGTTTATCCTCTTCAGCATCTGATTATAGTGAGGGTGGGTTTATACCAGCTGATAGAATAGCTATACAGTGAAAACTGTAGTTTCTAAGAAATTATACATTATTCAATTTCTAATTCCCAATTCTCATATTCATACTACAACTAAACTAGAGGAAAAAACGAAACATGTCTACTGTTTTACTAGGATCAGGAATGCAGAAAATTGTCACGGCTGATGGAATCAATCAGCCAACCATCAAAATGGAACATGGATCCCATCATTTTCACATGTAATATTACTGAATATAATGTTGTATCTGAAGCTTCTTCTCTTAGGTAAATCCATATTTATCCTGAGTTCCTATGGATTAAAAAAGAATAGACTGGCATTGTTTTGTAGCAAACAGATATGACAGAATCATCCCCAGTTTGTTCAGGACTTTCTGGATCCATGCCTTTGAAAGTTCTAGAAACCTTGACCTGGCATTGGCTGCATGAACCTTTCAGCTAAGTACAAAATGTAAGCAAAGTAATTAGAAAGTGCTTGTGTAGTGGAAGTTGAGTTTTTTGGACTTGGAAACTCTTATATCACAAGGTGGGGAAGTCTGGCTCAGCTTTCTGGAAAGTAGGAGAACATGTGGAGAGATTCTAGTCACTCTTCCCTTAATGCTATCCTTTCTAAGATACAAGAGAGGCCATTCAGAGCTCTCCTCTCCTTGTCAAACTGGTAGAGAGGAGAAACATCACCTGAAAATCTCAGAAATCCACTTTTTCCCAGGATAAAAATAATAATAAACTAGTAATCAAAACCATTGAGGATCTATGTTGATTTGATCTAAGGGTTCCAAGAACAGTGATGATTTGTCAGCATAGAACATGAGAGTTGTACTTCAGAGACATGCTTAAATCAGCCATTTCCCCATGTCTGGATGAAAGTTCTTGGACCTACATGTTATCTTTTATTTCTTGGGTCAGGTGCCATCTCAGAGGGAATTCAATACATCTGAATAAAATTTCTATGTATCATAATAGTTTGAGATATTTATTGAATCTCTTTGTTTAATGTGTGAGATCACTCAGTGACATGGCGATTTTGCTGCTCTGGAAAATTCTACTAAGCAAGAACAATTGGCGATCTTGGCTATATGAATATTTCACACTGAAGAATAATTCTTCATGTAAGTAAAGCCACTATTGACAACATACAACTGAATTCCTTGTGGGCTTAGCTGGAAATGGTCCCTTTAAGAGATGAATCACTTTGCAGTTTTATGGTGACCATGAGAATGGAGACAAGTAATTGCAAGTGTAACTGACCATGAACTGCAGTTGCTACCTTTTGAAATACAACATCTTCAAGGCTATGTTACTACTAGCTTCTCAGCTCCTGATGCTAAAATAAGTCTATTTCAGAGGAGATACTGGATTCCTGTATTTTAAGGACTCCTTTATATGTTGCTGAACTTATTTTTTTACTTCAGCACATCAGAGAAATCCAGGAACTCCCACTTTTTGTTCCTTGGCTTCAGATATTGTATGGAAGAGCCCTCCTTATTTCCCATAACTATTTTGATTTTGCCACAAGAGCACTTTCCCTAATAACATGCCCCCATGTTTAATCCACTTTTAGCATTCACTTTTTCAAGGACTCAAGTGGAAATGTAGAATTCTGACAAAATCAAGTTCCTAAAAATCACAGAGCTGAGAGCTTTGGAGAACTCATTGGTATTAATGCTGATGGAAGCTATTCCATTCACCACACCCTATACTGTGACTGAATTAGTGTGACTGACATTCTGCTACTTTAAAATGGCTATAGATAGGTTGAATATTAGACTCACTACCAATAACTGAAAAATACAATACTGCGGATTTAAAGAAAAATACAACTTGTGAAATGCACCACTTAATGGGAGACTAGGAAAGATTCAGTGGTTGGTAAACATGAGAAATATTTAGAGATAGAGACTAGAACAATTTCATTAGTATAGAAGAACTATGGTGGCAGTGAACAAGTCGCTTTTTGCATGAGTGTGATGAGATGTGACAAAAAGAATATGGACCTCTAATAGCTTTAGGGAGTGCTGGTACAAGGTAACACACTTGTAATGCTTTCTATTATTTCTAAATTGCTTGGCATTTTTTAAATACAAAAATTGGTTTTGGAAATACATCATTTGAAATAACAAGATATATACTAAGAATACTTTCATATGTTCCTTTCCCTGAATGAGATAAATTTACTCTATGAAACAGTTTCCGTGAAATGTATGAGTGTTTCTTTTTGCCTCTCAGATAAGGCCCTCCCACTGTGCTGGCATATGGTGTAAACAGTACACACAAAAGATGCTGAGAGCAGAAGGATTCGTGGATGCTCTTAGAGAGGAATAGTGCTCACAGTCTGCACATCAAATGTATAAGCATAATTCCCTCTTACATACAGTCTTGTCCATCTGCTCTGGTGGCATTTTGCCAAAATACAAATTGGGAAGATTATTTAACTTACATTTAGATGGCAGGTAATGGCAGGTGTTAATAGGCAACCTGGGGGTTCAGTCAGGGACTATTTTCCTGCCAAATCCTCTCCATTAAGGCTCAGCAGGCACTGGTGCCACACATTTAAAACTGTGGCCGTGGGCTGATGAGATACCTCTGTGGATATGGGCACTTGATGCCAAGCTTGACCACCTGAATGATCCTGAAAATCTACATGGTGGAAGGAGAGGATTGACACAGGCAAGCTGTCATCTCCCTCCACACAGTTAACATGGTAGCAGCCCACTGCATACACATTTACACACACACACACACACACACACACACACACACACACAAATAAGTACATGAATGTAAGCAAAAAATGAAATGTAGATTTTAATCCTTTGGGGGCATAACAAAGAGAACTGAAGAAATATCAACTTCTACAAACCACAGTAATAAAAAGAAAGTAAAATTGGATGAAGTGACACATGCCTGAAATTCTTCTATCTTGGAAGCCAAGACAGAAGATTATGAGTTAAAGGCATCCCATGCTGCAACTGTACAAACTAAATAAATGGAAATGTGGGCTCTGAGCCAATATCATACTTATGACTGAGGTGGGATGGACAGGAAACTTTAAAAAAATACTAGCAGAGATTATTTAATAAAACATAAGATTAGGTAGCTTCACTGAGCTAGCACAGAATGAGCTTTACTCAGCTCACACTAGAAATCAGAAAATCCATTAGCAAAATGTAGTCAATGAGGAGTAAATTAAGCTTTATTAAGAATCTGCCCAATGAATGATTCTGTATAAAGTTCATATAAAACCTTTATAATAGTATTCAAGAGAGAGAACAGTATCAGAAATTCAAAATGTCTTTGACTCTGAGCCTTAAATTGCTACTGATGGCAACTTCTGGTTTCCGATGTCTCTTGCTTTTCTTTTCCTGTTATCAAAACCTTATTATATACTATGCAAAAATCATGATCATTTATGATGATAACAAAACAGATTGAATAAATATATTATGTA